AGTCGAGGCACTCGGGGTCGCCGCTCCGGTCGGTCAGCCTGGCGTACTTGCCCGCCTCGCACTGCGCGTCCAGCTCGCGCGACGACCCCACCGGGCAAAACTTGCCAGCAGCGCAGCGGACGCAGGCGGCGGCGGCGGGCTGGTCCTGGTAGTACCCCTCGGGGCACAGCTCGCACGCGTCGTTGCGGGTGCCGTTGGCGAAGCTGCCCTCGCGGCACGCCGTCTGCTCGGTGGAGCCGGTGGTGGCGAAGTGGCCCGGCGTGGCGTCGGTGCACTCGCTCGCGTCGGTGAGGTTGGTGGCGCTCGAGTAGCTGCCAGCCTCGCACGGCAGCGCCGCCGCCGCGCCAACAGCGCAGTAGCTTCCCGCCTCGCACGGCTCGCACGCCGTCTTGCCTTCCTCGTCCTGGTACGTGCCGCCGGCGCAGGGCGTGCACGCGCCCTGCCCGTACGCGTCCGTGTACGACCCCTTGGCGCACGCCGTCTGCTGCGTGGAGCCGGTGGTGGCGAAGTGGCCCGGCGAGGCGTCGGTGCACTCGCCCGCGGCGGTGAGGTTGGTGGCGGTCGAGTAGCTGCCCGCAACGCACGGCAGCGGCGCCGACGCGCCCTCGGCGCAGTAGCTGCCCTCCACGCACGGAAGGCAGCTCGTCGCGTTCGACTCGCCCTGGTACGTCCCGCCCGCACAGCTGGCGCACTTGGAGAGGCCGGCCGTGGCGGCGAAAGAGCCCGGCGAGCACTCGGAGGGCGGCGCCGCCCCGCCGCCGCACGACGAGCCGGCGGGGCAGTCGAGGCACTCGGGGTCGCCGCTCCGGTCGGTCAGCCTGGCGTACTTGCCCGCCTCGCACTGCGCGTCCAGCTCGCGCGACGACCCCACCGGGCAAAACTTGCCAGCAGCGCAGCGGACGCAGGCGGCGGCGGCGGGCTGGTCCTGGTAGTACCCCTCGGGGCACAGCTCGCACGCGTCGTTGCGGGTGCCGTTGGCGAAGCTGCCCTCGCGGCACGCCGTCTGCTCGGTGGAGCCGGTGGTGGCGAAGTGGCCCGGCGAGGCGTCGGTGCACTCGCTCGCGTCGGTGAGGTTGGTGGCGCTCGAGTAGCTGCCAGCCTCGCACGGCAGCGCCGCCGCCGCGCCAACAGCGCAGTAGCTTCCCGCCTCGCACGGCTCGCACGCCGTCTTGCCTTCCTCGTCCTGGTACGTGCCGCCGGCGCAGGGCGTGCACGCGCCCTGCCCGTACGCGTCCGTGTACGACCCCTTGGCGCACGCCGTCTGCTGCGTGGAGCCGGTGGTGGCGAAGTGGCCCGGCGAGGCGTCGGTGCACTCGCCCGCGGCGGTGAGGTTGGTGGCGGTCGAGTAGCTGCCCGCAACGCACGGCAGCGGCGCCGACGCGCCCTCGGCGCAGTAGCTGCCCTCCACGCACGGAAGGCAGCTCGTCGCGTTCGACTCGCCCTGGTACGTCCCGCCCGCACAGCTGGCGCACTCGGAGAGGCCGGCCGTGGCGGCGAAAGAGCCCGGCGAGCACTCGGAGGGCGGCGCCGCCCCGCCGCCGCACGACGAGCCGGCGGGGCAGTCGAGGCACTCGGGGTCGCCGCTCCGGTCGGTCAGCCTGGCGTACGTGCCCGCCTCGCACTGCGCGTCCAGCTCGCGCGACGACCCCACCGGGCAAAACTTGCCAGCAGCGCAGCGGACGCAGGCGGCGGCGGCGGGCTGGTCCTGGTAGTACCCCTCGGGGCACAGCTCGCACGCGTCGTTGCGGGTGCCGTTGGCGAAGCTGCCCTCGCGGCACGCCGTCTGCTCGGTGGAGCCGGTGGTGGCGAAGTGGCCCGGCGTGGCGGCGGTGCACTCGCTCGCGTCGGTGAGGTTGGTGGCGGTCGAGTAGCTGCCAGCCTCGCACGGCAGCGCCGCCGCCGCGCCAACAGCGCAGTGGCTTCCCGCCTCGCACGGCTCGCACGCCGTCTTGCCTTCCTCGTCCTGGTACGTGCCGCCGGCGCAGGGCGTGCACGCGCCCTGCCCGTACGCGTCCGTGTACGACCCCTTGGCGCACGCCGTCTGCTGCGTGGAGCCGGTGGTGGCGAAGTGGCCCGGCGAGGCGTCGGTGCACTCGCCCGCGGCGGTGAGGTTGGTGGCGGTCGAGTAGCTGCCAGCCTCGCACGGCAGCGGCGCCGACGCGCCCACGGCGCAGTAGCTGCCCTCCACGCACGGAAGGCAGCTCGTCGCGTTCGACTCGCCCTGGTACGTCCCGCCCGCACAGCTGGCGCACTCGGAGAGGCCGGCCGTGGCGGCGAAAAAGCCCGGCGAGCACTCGGAGGGCGGCGCCGCCCCGCCGCCGCACGACGAGCCGGCGGGGCAGTCGAGGCACTCGGGGTCGCCGCTCCGGTCGGTCAGCCTCGCGTACGTGCCCGCCTCGCACTGCGCGTCCAGCTCGCGCGACGACCCCACCGGGCAAAACTTGCCAGCAGCGCAGCGGACGCAGGCGGCGGCGGCGGGCTGGTCCTGGTAGTACCCCTCGGGGCACAGCTCGCACGCGTCGTTGCGGGTGCCGTTGGCGAAGCTGCCCTCGCGGCACGCCGTCTGCTCAGTGGAGCCGGTGGTGGCGAAGTGGCCCGGCGTGGCGTCGGTGCACTCGCTCGCGTCGGTGAGGTTGGTGGCGCTCGAGTAGCTGCCAGCCTCGCACGGCAGCGCCGCCGCTGCGCCAACAGCGCAGTGGCTTCCCGCCTCGCACGGCTCGCACGCCGTCTTGCCTTCCTCGTCCTGGTACGTGCCGCCGGCGCAGGGCGTGCACGCGCCCTGCCCGTACGCGTCCGTGTACGACCCCTTGGCGCACGCCGTCTGCTGCGTGGAGCCGGTGGTGGCGAAGTGGCCCGGCGAGGCGTCGGTGCACTCGCCCGCGGCGGTGAGGTTGGTGGCGGTCGAGTAGCTGCCCGCAACGCACGGCAGCGGCGCCGACGCGCCCTCGGCGCAGTAGCTGCCCTCCACGCACGGAAGGCAGCTCGTCGCGTTCGACTCGCCCTGGTACGTCCCGCCCGCACAGCTGGCGCACTCGGAGAGGCCGGCCGTGGCGGCGAAAGAGCCCGGCGAGCACTCGGAGGGCGGCGCCGCCCCGCCGCCGCACGACGAGCCGGCGGGGCAGTCGAGACACTCGGGGTCTCCGCTCCGGTCGGTCAGCCTCGCGTACGTGCCCGCCGCGCACTGCGCGTCCAGCTCGCGCGACGACCCCACCGGGCAAAACTTGCCAGCAGCGCAGCGGACGCAGGCGGCGGCGGCGGGCTGGTCCTGGTAGTACCCCTCGGGGCACAGCTCGCACGCGTCGTTGCGGGTGCCGTTGGCGAAGCTGCCCTCGCGGCACGCCGTCTGCTCGGTGGAGCCGGTGGTGGCGAAGTGGCCCGGCGTGGCGTCGGTGCACTCGCTCGCGTCGGTGAGGTTGGTGGCGCTCGAGTAGCTGCCAGCCTCGCACGGCAGCGCCGCCGCCGCGCCCTCGGCGCAGTGGCTTCCCGCCTCGCACGGCTCGCACGCCGTCTTGCCTTCCTCGTCCTGGTACGTGCCGCCGGCGCAGGGCGTGCACGCGCCCTGCCCGTACGCGTCCGTGTACGACCCCTTGGCGCACGCTGTCTGCTGCGTGGAGCCGGTGGTGGCGAAATGGCCCGGCGAGGCGTCGGTGCACTCGCCCGCGGCGGTGAGGTTGGTGGCGGTCGAGTAGCTGCCCGCAACGCACGGCAGCGGCGCCGACGCGCCCTCGGCGCAGTAGCTGCCCTCCACGCACGGAAGGCAGCTCGTCGCGTTCGACTCGCCCTGGTACGTCCCGCCCGCACAGCTGGCGCACTCGGAGAGGCCGGCCGTGGCGGCGAAAGAGCCCGGCGAGCACTCGGAGGGCGGCGCCGCCCCGCCGCCGCACGACGAGCCGGCGGGGCAGTCGAGGCACTCGGGGTCGCCGCTCCGGTCGGTCAGCCTCGCGTACGTGCCCGCCGCGCACTGCGCGTCCAGCTCGCGCGACGAGCCCACCGGGCAAAACTTGCCAGCAGCGCAGCGGACGCAGGCGGCCTTGCCGGTCTCGTTCTGGAAGTAGCCCTTGGGGCACAGCTCGCACGCGTCGTTGCGAATGCCGTTGGCGAAGCTGCCCTCGCGGCACGCCGTCTGCTCGGTGGAGCCGGTGGTGGCGAAGTGGCCCGGCGTGGCGTCGGTGCACTCGCTCGCGTCGGTGAGGTTGGTGGCGCTCGAGTAGCTGCCAGCCTCGCACGGCAGCGCCGCCGCCGCGCCAACAGCGCAGTGGCTTCCCGCCTCGCACGGCTCGCACGCCGTCTTGCCTTCCTCGTCCTGGTACGTGCCGCCGGCGCAGGGCGTGCACGCGCCCTGCCCGTACGCGTCCGTGTACGACCCCTTGGCGCACGCCGTCTGCTGCGTGGAGCCGGTGGTGGCGAAGTGGCCCGGCGAGGCGTCGGTGCACTCGCCCGCGGCGGTGAGGTTGGTGGCGGTCGAGTAGCTGCCCGCAACGCACGGCAGCGGCGCCGACGCGCCCTCGGCGCAGTAGCTGCCCTCCACGCACGGAAGGCAGCTCGTCGCGTTCGACTCGCCCTGGTATGTCCCGCCCGCACAGCTGGCGCACTCGGAGAGGCCGGCCGTGGCGGCGAAAGAGCCCGGCGAGCACTCGGAGGGCGGCGCCGCCCCGCCGCCGCACGACGAGCCGGCGGGGCAGTCGAGGCACTCGGGGTCGCCGCTCCGGTCGGTCAGCCTGGCGTACTTGCCCGCCTCGCACTGCGCGTCCAGCTCGCGCGACGACCCCACCGGGCAAAACTTGCCAGCAGCGCAGCGGACGCAGGCGGCGGCGGCGGGCTGGTCCTGGTAGTACCCCTCGGGGCACGGCGTGGTAATCGTGGTCGTCTCGACGTTGGCCGTCGCGCCCTGAACAGGAGGGCGGGAGACTGGCGGTTGAGCGGCGAGCGGGGGGGGAGGCCGCATGTATGCAGGCGGCGAGCACCGAGTCTGTGGTCGACGGCGTGGAGCCGCGGGGCACCTTGCCGGTGCCGCCGAGGATGCCCTCGTTGCCGTCCCTTCCGAGCAGGGCCCCGAACCGGTTGTTGCCGCCGACCGGGGCGGTGCTCTTGGCGCGGACGATCGGGGCGGACGCGCCCTTGCGCCCCTTCTTGCGGCGCTTCTTGCGGCGCGGGTTCGACGGGGTGGTCCTGTCGGGGATGCCCTGCGCACGCGCAAGCGGTGGGTGCGTCAACAGTTGAGGCTCTGCGTTGCACCGCAGCGTGCGAGGCGCTCACCGCCGGGGCGAGCTTCTCCGCTGGCGGAGACTCCTTGGCCGAGACGGTCCAGTCGGCGTCGCCCTACGCATCAATGAAAGCGGGGTGGGTCAAGGGGTGGGTCGGCAGACGCACGGCGCAGAATGCAAGGCGCTCGCCGCCGCGGCGGGCGTCTCCTCCGGAACCTCCTCGCTCGACGGCAGCGGCGCGCCGCCGGTCGCCACCGGCGTGAGAGCCGGGGCGTTTGTGGTGACGCCGTTGGGGGCCGTCGGTGGGTCGGTCGGGGTGGTGCTCTTGGAACAGTCGACCAGGTTGGGCTCGCCCAACCCGTTGGGGTCGACGCGGCCGATCGGGGTTGGGTTCTTGGTGGTCTTCTTGGAGCGGTCGATCAGGTTGGGCTCGCCCTTGCGCTCGATCTTGCGGAGCGGGGAGGGGGTCTTCCACCCGTCGATGACCTGCGCGCGCGTGCCGTGCGGCAGACGAGAGGTCACAGGGTCAATGTAAGTGCCCGCCTGTTGGACTCGCGTGTCCCCGCAATACCCGCGGGTGCTTCTGCTGGGAGGTGCTCACCGTCGGGGCGGCCGTCTCCTTGTTCGAAACGTTCCAGTCGCCCTACGCGTCGAATGCGGGATGGAGTTCACAGAGTGGGCCGGCAGACGCCGGCGCGCACAATGCCAGGCGCTCGCCGCCGGGGCGGCGGGCTTCTTCTCCGGAAAGTCCTTGATCGACGGCAGCGGCGCGCCGCCGGCCGCCGCCGGCTTGAGGGCCGTGGCGACCTTGGTGGCCGGCTTGAGCGCCGGGTCGTTCTTGATGACGCCGGTCTCGTCAACGCAGGCCTCCGCGCCAGACTCTGCCGCAGGGATGTCCTTCTTGAGGGGCGTAAACTTGGACCAGAAAACGGCGGGCGGGCTCGGCGCGTGGGTGGCGAACATGGCCTTGGGCTTGTCCGAGTCGACCGCGCCCGCGTCGGGCGCCTTTACCGCGGCCGGGTCTTTCTTGAGGACGTCCTCCGTGCCAGACTTCGCCACGGAGATGTCCTTGACGCTCTTGACGCCGCACGCCTGTGGGCGAGGGAGAGTACGCGCAGGCTTTCGGAGACGGGAGAGGGATGATCACAATCCTGGCGTGCGCACGCGCACCTTGGCTCCGAGGAGCGAAGGCGACACCGACTCGGAGATGACGATCGTGATGCGGCCGTCGTCAGCCGGCACGATTCCGACCTTCGCGAAGGACTTCATCGGCGAAGACTCGCCCGCGACGTTGCCGCCGCCCGCGTCAATGCCGTCCTTGAGCGGGCTGGGCTCGCTCTCGGGCGGGATGCCGACGGCCTTGGCCTTGGCCTTGGCCGAGTCGACCGTGCCCGCGGCGGGCGCCTCTGCCGAAGGGTCTTTCTTGATGATGCTCTCGTCGGAGGCCTCCGCGCCAGACTTTGCGGGGACGTCCTTCACGAGGGCGTTCTTGGCGCCGCACGCCTGTGGGCCAGGGACGATACGGCGGCGTTGGGACGGGAGATCGCGCTGATAGGATGAACACGCGCATAGACAGGCACCTCGGCTCCGAGGAGCGAAGGGGATTCCGACGCAAACGAGAGGACGATTGTGACTCGGCCTCCGTCGCTGGCCGGCACGAAGCCAACCTTCGCTTTGTAGTCGATGTTGTCCATGATCGAGTTGTCCTGTGCAAGTCGCATCATCATGAAGGTTGAGACGGGCCCTTGCATTGCATGTGCACAAACAGCTATATTCGCTTTGTGGAGGTGTACGGGGTCTGAAATGAGAGGGATGGGGGACGGGGGACAAAGTCGATCAGCCTGCGGGGCGGGGTGGGGTGCGGGAAGCGGGCTCAAGATGCTTGGACACGCGCGGCAGCTGGCTGGCAGAGGAGAGGGACGGCAGACGCTCGGCGACGAAGGGCTGATGGACGTAACTGACGGCAGAGAAGGCGGTGTGGCAGAGGAGCAGGCGGACAGGCGGAGGCGGCGGTCCCTCAAGGGCGGCGGCGGCGGCGGAGAGTGGCGGAGGGCAGCGGAGGGCGGCGGCGCCCCGCCGCCGCACGACGAGCCGGCGGGGCAGTCGAGGACAGTCGGAGGTAGCCGCTCCGGTCGGTCAGCCTCGCGTACGTGCCCGCCTCGCACTGCGCGTCCAGCTCGCGCGACGATCCCGCCGGGCAAAACTTGCCAGCAGCGCAGCGGACGCAGGCGGCCTTGCCGGTCTCGTTCTGGAAGTACCCCTCGGGGCACAGCTCGCACGCGTCGTTGCGAATGCCGTTGGCGAAGCTGCCCTCGCGGCACGCCGTCTGCTCGGTGGAGCCGGTGGTGGCGAAGTGGCCCGGCGAGGCGTCGGTGCACTCGCTCGCGTCGGTGAGGTTGGTGGCGCTCGAGTAGCTGCCAGCCTCGCACGGCAGCGCCGCCGCCGCGCCAACGGCGCAGTGGCTTCCCGCCTCGCACGGCTCGCACGCCGTCTTGCCTTCCTCGTCCTGGTACGTGCCGCCGGCGCAGGGCGTGCACGCGCCCTGCCCGTACGCGTTCGTGTACGACCCCTTGGCGCACGCTGTCTGCTGCGTGGAGCCGGTGGTGGCGAAGTGGCCCGGCGAGGCGTCGGTGCACTCGCCCGCGGCGGTGAGGTTGGTGGCGGTCGAGTAGCTGCCCGCAACGCACGGCAGCGGCGCCGACGCGCCCTCGGCGCAGTAGCTGCCCTCCACGCACGGAAGGCAGCTCGTCGCGTTCGACTCGCCCTGGTACGTCCCGCCCGCACAGCTGGCGCACTCGGAGAGGCCGGCCGTGGCGGCGACTGAGCCCGGCGAGCACTCGGACGGCGGCGCCGCCCCGCCGCCGCACGACGAGCCGGCGGGGCAGGCGAGGCACTCGGGGTCGCCGCTCCGGTCGGTCAGCCTCGCGTACGTGCCCGCCTCGCACTGCGCGTCCAGCTCGCGCGACGACCCCACCGGGCAAAACTTGCCAGCAGCGCAGCGGACGCAAGCGGCCTTGCCGGTCTCGTTCTGGAAGTACCCCTCGGGGCACAGCTCGCACGCGTCGTTGCGAATGCCGTTGGCGAAGCTGCCCTCGCGGCACGCCGTCTGCTCGGTGGAGCCGGTGGTGGCGAAGTGGCCCGGCGAGGCGTCGGTGCACTCGCTCGCGTCGGTGAGGTTGGTGGCGCTCGAGTAGCTGCCAGCCTCGCACGGCAGCGCCGCCGCCGCGCCAACAGCGCAGTAGCTTCCCGCCTCGCACGGCTCGCACGCCGTCTTGCCTTCCTCGTCCTGGTACGTGCCGCCGGCGCAGGGCGTGCACGCGCCCTGCCCGTACGCGTCCGTGTACGACCCCTTGGCGCACGCCGTCTGCTGCGTGGAGCCGGTGGTGGCGAAGTGGCCCGGCGAGGCGTCGGTGCACTCGCCCGCGGCGGTGAGGTTGGTGGCGGTCGAGTAGCTGCCCGCAACGCACGGCAGCGGCGCCGACGCGCCCTCGGCGCAGTAGCTGCCCTCCACGCACGGAAGGCAGCTCGTCGCGTTCGACTCGCCCTGGTACGTCCCGCCCGCACAGCTGGCGCACTCGGAGAGGCCGGCCGTGGCGGCGAAAGAGCCCGGCGAGCACTCGGACGGCGGCGCCGCCCCGCCGCCGCACGACGAGCCGGCGGGGCAGTCGAGGCACTCGGGGTCGCCGCTCCGGTCGGTCAGCCTCGCGTACGTGCCCGCCGCGCACTGCGCGTCCAGCTCGCGCGACGACCCCACCGGGCAAAACTTGCCAGCAGCGCAGCGGACGCAGGCGGCCTTGCCGGTCTCGTTCTGGAAGTACCCCTCGGGGCACAGCTCGCACGCGTCGTTGCGGGTGCCGTTGGCGAAGCTGCCCTCGCGGCACGCCGTCTGCTCGGTGGAGCCGGTGGTGGCGAAGTGGCCCGGCGTGGCGTCGGTGCACTCGCTCGCGTCGGTGAGGTTGGTGGCGCTCGAATAGCTGCCAGCCTCGCACGGCAGCGCCGCCGCCGCGCCAACAGCGCAGTGGCTTCCCGCCTCGCACGGCTCGCACGCTGTCTTGCCTTCCTCGTCCTGGTACGTGCCGCCGGCGCAGGGCGTGCACGCGCCCTGCCCGTACGCGTTCGTGTACGACCCCTTGGCGCACGCTGTCTGCTGCGTGGAGCCGGTGGTGGCGAAGTGGCCCGGCGAGGCGTCGGTGCACTCGCCCGCGGCGGTGAGGTTGGTGGCGGTCGAGTAGCTGCCCGCAACGCACGGCAGCGGCGCCGACGCGCCCTCGGCGCAGTAGCTGCCCTCCACGCACGGAAGGCAGCTCGTCGCGTTCGACTCGCCCTGGTACGTCCCGCCCGCACAGCTGGCGCACTCGGAGAGGCCGGCCGTGGCGGCGAAAGAGCCCGGCGAGCACTCGGAGGGCGGCGCCGCCCCGCCGCCGCACGACGAGCCGGCGGGGCAGGCGAGGCACTCGGGGTCGCCGCTCCGGTCGGTCAGCCTCGCGTACGTGCCCGCCGCGCACTGCGCGTCCAGCTCGCGCGACGAGCCCACCGGGCAAAACTTGCCAGCAGCGCAGCGGACGCAGGCGGCCTTGCCGGTCTCGTTCTGGAAGTAGCCCTTGGGGCACAGCTCGCACGCGTCGTTGCGAATGCCGTTGCCGAAGCTGCCCTCGCGGCACGCCGTCTGCTGGGTGGAGCCGGTGGTGGCGAAGTGGCCCGGCGTGGCGTCGGTGCACTCGCTCGCGTCGGTGAGGTTGGTGGCGCTCGAGTAGCTGCCAGCCTCGCACGGCAGCGCCGCCGCCGCGCCAACGGCGCAGTGGCTTCCCGCCTCGCACGGCTCGCACGCCGTCTTGCCTTCCTCGTCCTGGTACGTGCCGCCGGCGCAGGGCGTGCACGCGCCCTGCCCGTACGCGTCCGTGTACGACCCCTTGGCGCACGCCGTCTGCTGCGTGGAGCCGGTGGTGGCGAAGTGGCCCGGCGAGGCGTCGGTGCACTCGCCCGCGGCGGTGAGGTTGGTGGCGGTCGAGTAGCTGCCCGCAACGCACGGCAGCGGCGCCGACGCGCCCTCGGCGCAGTAGCTGCCCTCCACGCACGGAAGGCAGCTCGTCGCGTTCGACTCGCCCTGGTACGTCCCGCCCGCACAGCTGGCGCACTCGGAGAGGCCGGCCGTGGCGGCGAAAGAGCCCGGCGAGCACTCGGAGGGCGGCGCCGCCCCGCCGCCGCACGACGAGCCGGCGGGGCAGGCGAGGCAATCGGGGTCGCCGCTCCGGTCGGTCAGCCTCGCGTACGTGCCCGCCGCGCACTGCGCGTCCAGCTCGCGCGACGAGCCCACCGGGCAAAACTTGCCAGCAGCGCAGCGGACGCAGGCGGCCTTGCCGGTCTCGTTCTGGAAGTACCCCTCGGGGCACAGCTCGCACGCGTCGTTGCGAATGCCGTTGGCGAAGCTGCCCTCGCGGCACGCCGTCTGCTCGGTGGAGCCGGTGGTGGCGAAGTGGCCCGGCGTGGCGGCGGTGCACTCGCTCGCGTCGGTGAGGTTGGTGGCGCTCGAGTAGCTGCCAGCCTCGCACGGCAGCGCCGCCGCCGCGCCAACAGCGCAGTGGCTTCCCGCCTCGCACGGCTCGCACGCCGTCTTGCCTTCCTCGTCCTGGTACGTGCCGCCGGCGCAGGGCGTGCACGCGCCCTGCCCGTACGCGTCCGTGTACGACCCCTTGGCGCACGCCGTCTGCTGCGTGGAGCCGGTGGTGGCGAAGTGGCCCGGCAAGGCGGCGGTGCACTCGCTCGCGTCGGTGAGGTTGGTGGCGCTCGAGTAGCTGCCAGCCTCGCACGGCAGCGGCGCAGAGGCGCCCTTGGCGCAGTAATGGCCCGGCACGCACGCGATGCAGTTGGTGGCGCCGCTCGAGTCCTGATATTCGCCGGCAGGGCACCTCTGGCAGATGCCCTGTCTGGCGAGAGCGGTGAAGGTGCCCGGCGCGCAATCGATTGCGTCATCAGAGCCGGTCGGGCAAAACGTGCCGGCCGGACAGGTGATGCAGTCGTCCTTGCTCGTCATGACGAGAAGCGAGGGGTTGATATGCGTCCCGGCGGGGCAGGGCAGTGGCGCAGAGGCCCCAACGGGGCAGTAGCTTCCCGCCTCGCAGTCGCGGCAGGAGGTCGCGCCCGTGTCGTTCTGGTAACGGCCCGCAGGACAGTCCTTGCACTCACTCAGCCCGGAGGCGTCGCCGTATGTTCCAGCCCGGCAGCTCGCGCACGTCTCGCTGCTGTTTGCGCCGGTGGTCGGGCTAGAGGTGCCGGGGGGGCATTGCTGACAGTCATCGGATGAGCTGCTGCCCTGCCCCTCGTTGTAGGTACCTGCTGGACACGGCGTGAAGCCGCCGCCGCACGTCGCGGCGGCGTCGCAGTATCCGCCCGTGGCACACGTGTCGCATGACGTCTGGCCTCGCTCAGCCTGGAACTGGCCAGCAGGGCAACGCGTGCACGCGGCCTGGCCGGTGAGGTCCTGGTACTCGCCCGCAGGGCAAGCAAAGCACTCGTCGACGGCGACACCGTCTGCAAAGCTGCCTGTGGGGCACTCGACGCAACTGGGCTGGATCCAGGTGGTGGGGTCGCTCTCTGTGCGCGCCGCTGCGACGCTGGTGTTGTAGAAGACGCCCCGCTTGTCTTTGCAAGCAGTGCACGCGTCGCTGCCGAGCGGGCGCTCGCCGAGGGGGCAGGGGTCTGTCGCGCAGAGCTCTCCGACGCCGGGCTGCTGCACAAAGTCGGGGAGGCACTC